CCTTCCCTGCAAGGGCTGTCAGGCCCTGGAAGGGGCTGCCCAGGGAAGAGGTCGAGTCTCCATCCCTGGGGGTATTTAGAAGCCAGGCAGAGGAGGTGCTTAGGGCCAAGGTTTGGTGGTGGGATGGCAGGGTTAGGGGAATGGTTGGGCTTGGGGATCTTAAAGGTCTTTGCCAACCCAAATGATTCCGTGGTTCTGTGATCCTGCCGTGATCACCCTGGGGCTGTGACCAGGTTCTTCTCCCCATCACATGCCCATGGTTTCACCACTCGGCTCACTACCTTGCTGTGCAGCAGGAGCATGTCAGCAGCAGAAGGTGAGGCTCTCGTACCTGGTGTCAGATCAGCTCCTGGGAGAATTGCTCTAAGAAAAAGTATCTCACAGGAGAGGAGGTGTTTTTACCTGGGACCAGCCCTGGTGAACTTGGCCCCAAAACCTGCATGTACCACCGCAGCTGTGGGGAGGGCAAGAGGGCAGCAATGCTCTGGCACGGCTCAGGGAGAGCAAGCGCTGCGGGCCAGGAGTGATGCTGGAAGCTGTGCTCTGGGGAGCTGCATCTGGTGGCAGTGCCACCTCCACCCCACTTTGTCCATGCTGTGCAAGGACCAGTTTGGATGATTTAGGTTCTCGGAGCAGTTTGCAAGTCTGTCTTATCCATTGAGCTCCTTTGGTTGGTTGGTTTCCATCTCCTGCCAGCCTTGCAGGGGTGAGGGGTTTGTGGTTTGGCTGTTTTAAAATCACCCACAGTCCTGTGTCTTGGAGGCTTCTCCCACCCCGCTTCGAATGGGGCGAGGCTGACTGGACTTGCAAATGGGGCCGCTCCACGGGGGATGGCAGCAGCATCCTCCAAAGCCCCCTGCTGTCATCTGGGCCAGTGCCTCCACCGACCCACGCAGGGCTGATGCCGATGAAACCACACTGTGTTGCGGGTGACGCTGGCGTAGGCAGGGTCCAGTACCCACCACGGGTTCCTCAGCCCGTCAGTGAAGCTTGCGAGTGCCATGTGCAGGCTGTGGGTGAGCAGGGTCCGAGCCGTGCCACGCCGTAACCCTGCAGGCTTGGTCTTCACTCCTACAAACATGTGAAAAAGGGCAGGAAAAAAAAAACCAGCCTCACCTCACCATGAGCATCCCTGTGAGCCTTTATGGTCCGAGCGCTGGCAGAAGAATTTTGACTGAAGCAGGCTATTGTTTCTCCAAGCCAAAACATTTTGTAGTGATTTACTTTTCTGGCTGGCCCTGGAAACAGAATTTGGATAGAAACGCTGATGGGTTTTCTGCTGGGGCATCCCCAGAGCCTGTGTCTGTCCCAGCTGCCGCCTCCCAGGCTGGCTGTGGAGAGGGGCTTCCCAGGCACCCGTCCTTCCTCCTCCTCCACAAGCAGCCTCGCCACATCACTTGGAAGCCCAAAAAGCTCTCGTTCAAACCCGTGAGAAGTTCTTCCACCTCTTTGCGGGACTCAGGCAGCCACCTCCCTCTGGGAGCACAACCCAGTAGAAACAGCTTGAGTTTGCAGTGAAGCATTTGGAAGATTTGGGGCTTGGTTCCTTCTTGGCCACTTCTTAGTGTTTCTAAATGGGAATGAAGTTCTGCTTGGAAATGCTGGAGTTCCCCTGCATCGGTGGCACCAGCACTGCCCTCCGCTCCGGGCTGGGGGTGCCCCAAAGCAGCCGCTGTGCCGATGTGCAGCAGGGACGCGCGGGTACGGGTACACGTTGCTCATAAAGCAGCAGACCGACAGCGGAGGAATATCTGGGGAGACGCTGGTGGGACAGGCGGCACGTGCTGACAGGGCTGCGTATCTTGGCAGGTGTTGCATGATGTCTGTCAACACCCGGGCAGCTTGCTCCTTAAAGATTGCCTCTCCTCATGCTGTGCCGCTGTGTGTAGGAGGGTGTTGGTTTTTTTTTTTTTCCCCCCAAGACGCTCGTGCACTTCCTAATTCTGTTTTTCTTTTGAAGATTTGGATGTTTTTCCAAGCCTAATCACAGCTGACTCCCAGCTGGGGTTTTTTTCCATGGCATCTGTGTCCAGAGAGCTTACTGGGTGGCAAATCCCATGGACGTGCCCCAGGGGGACAACTTGCTCGCTGCATCGGTGCCAGCATGCAGCACAAACGCCAATGGGACGCGTGTCTCCGGGGCAGGGAGGGGTGGCAGGGTGCCGCTCGAGGGTGCTGCCGGTTTGCCGGTGTGCTCGAGCCGTGAGGACAGGAGGGTGCCCATGGGGTCGGACAGCACAGGGGGCTGTGGCCTC